ATGATGAAAATATGCGCAAGGCTATGCCTGAAATTATTGATAAGAGATGTGATACCCAGCTTTACAGGCACCTCCATTCAGCCGGTTATTTTTAAACCCATCTCTTCACTACAAGCACCCATCCATTGAGTCAGATCGTGTAATAAATGGTAGGTTCTTAGATGTGCTGGAGAGGTTGGTGCCAGACAAAGATATCCAGGATGAGATCCAGAGCCATGAATTGATTAAGTTCAAGTTAGCCTTGGGAAACTTTGAGAGAGATATTGCCACTCGAAATAGGGACACTACAGGTCCAGGTAAAGGCCAAAAGCCCAAAAATAATCTTACTTGTCTTTTACTTTATGTATAGTTCTATTGTTTATTTTATACCCTTAATTTTTAACTATATTCTAAATTATAAAATATTATACAGCTGCATGGTGGGCATTATATGGAAGCGAAACACCAAATCTACAACATCTTGCTATTCGAGTGTTGAATCTCACATGTAGCTCATCTGATTGTGAGTGCAATTGGAGTGCATTTGAGCATGTAAGTCCTTTACTCCTTATTCCTTAATCCTTATTTCTTGAATTTCAATTTTCTAATCTAAAATCTAAATAATTTATCTGATTTCAAGTTTCCACCACAGCTCCATACAAAAAAAAGAAATAGGTTGGAGCAGAAAAAGTTGAATGATTTGGTTTATGTGCGGTATAACGAGCGGCTTAGGGAGAGGTATGACAATCGCACGAAGCTCAACCCTATTCAATTATATGAAGCTGATGGTGATTCCATAAGTGAGTGGACCGTGGATCCAAGACAAGAGCATATGTTTGAGGGTGAGGATCTTACATGGCTTAATGTCGAGCTAGCAACAGGGGTTAATGAAGAAGATCGACCTAACACTAGAGCACAAAGGAGTAGAGGAGCTGCTGGGTCTAGTCGCACTCGCACATTAGCTTTAGAGGTCAAGGAGGAAGCTGACTCAGAGGAGACCGATGAAAAAGAATACATGGAGGTCGTCGAGGATGATATTGATGATGCGCATGACGACTCTCAAGATGACTTGTCTGATTGATATTTGAAAAAATGAAGTTTCAATTTCAAAATTGACTCTCAAAATGGATGATTGGATTAAGTTATTAACTATTAACTCTTCTTGAGCTTGACTTTTGGTTTGTATTTTGTAATATCACTCTTTTGTGCTTATGGTTGTACTTATGGTTGTTGATGGTTGTGCTTATGGTGCAAATTTGTGCTTATGGTTGTTGATTGTTGAATGCTTTATGAAGCTGGTTTCAAGTTTTTAGTTTCTATCAGGGGATAGTGGATAACTGGATACAGAATCTCCAACAGCTAATAGTTTTGAAGTTAATCATTAAACTAAAATATCTACTATCACATATATCACCTTCATATTTTTTTCTATGAATTAACTTATATTTTTAGATTTTTTAGAATTTTTTTACATTTATTGACATCCGGGCCGCATCGCCACATCGGCCCCCCACCACATCAAGGTCGCATCCCGCATTTTAAAACATTGTTTTAGCACTAGAAAACATCTCAAAGGTGGGAGTTTGGAGTTCGAGCAATCAAAATAAGTGCAAAAATTAATATTTTAGATTGCTTGTTTTATTTTGAAATGTCTTCTTCAGGATATAGTCGAAGTGGAGATCCGGGTTGAAAATATGGATATAACCCAAATCCAAATGACCAAAATTGCAATTGATACAATTTTTGTGAAAAATATACGAAAGGAGGCATACACCGGTTTAAGAAACATCTTGGCGGTATTAAGGGGGACGTCGTCCTTGTAAAAATGTTCCTGAAGCTATCGGAAAGGAGATTAAGCAATATATGAGTTTTGTAAAACAAAAACAGGAACAAAATCCTTGTCATTTGAATAGGTCTATTTCTGCTACTTCTAAAAGAACTGATCCAAGTTGGAAGTATGGTTATAACTCAAAACCAAACGATAAAATTGTATAAGGTGTAATTTTTGTGAAAAATATAGCAATGGGGGTATTAACCGATTCAAGAAACATCTTGTCGTTACTAAAGGGAATATTGCTTTTTGTAAAAAGTTCCTAAAGCTATTCGGGATAAGATTAGACAACTTTTGAATTTAAAAGAACCAGATAATGATGAAAATGAGCTTTGTTATTTGGAAATATCTTCTCCAGGTTCTTCTAAAAGTGGCGATCCGGGTTGGAAGTATGGTTATAACCCGAATCCGAATGACAAAAATCGTATTAAATGTAATTATTGTAGAAAGGATACTAATGGGGGCATTTACCAGTTTAAAAAATACCTTGCCGATATTAAGGGGGGATGTTGCCCCGTTTAAAAATATTCTTGAGACTACTAGGGAGGAAATTATACAATATTTGAGTTCAATGAAGCACAAAAAGATAGAAAAGTGTAGAGCAGCCAAGACTCCTAAGGCCTCCTCTGCACATATTAGTAAGAGGGAGGTAGAAGAAGAGGAGGAAGAGGCAGATTCAGAAGAAACAGAGGAGGACACATGTTATATTGAAGAGGGAGATGACTCTGATGATGATGGCCTCGATTCTGATGCATATGATGTAGCTTACCCTATTCCTTCTGATGATGATGATGATGATGATGATGACTGAAGAGTGAAGACTCTTAGTGTTGAATGTTGTGTTGACTATTGTATCGTAGACTGCATATTTTCTGAATTTCTATATATTTTCTTTTTCTTATTTTTAGTTTCTGGTACTACTTTCTAGGTTCTAGTTCTACTATCTAACTTTTGTGTGTACCGTCTATAGTGTATCAGACTATCAGTGTCTGCTTGTATGGTTTTACTGCTTTAGCGTTGTATGAAAATATGGATTATGGACTTATGGATTGTCAAAATTCTCTTCTTGACTTCTATCTTCTTTTTTCTAACTAGGATTATGGTCTTATGGATTATCAAAATTTATAATCTTAGGGATTATGGTCTTATGGATTAGCAAAATTCTTATGGATTAATCATTATCAGTCATCACTCATCAGTTTTTTTTTTAATCAACTAGGCCGCCCAAGTTCTGGGCGGCCAGGTGGCTCCCTAGGCACTAGGCAGCCTGGACCCCCTTGGCCACCTGGGTGCTGCCCAGCGCTTTTTGAAACACTGCAGGTCTTTAGTTTGGGTGTCATTATTGTGTCAGTCACACATTAACAACCATACCAACACATATTTGCAATCTACTTTTTGTTGAAATAACGACTGAGTACATCACAAACATAGACTTGATCTTCATTCTCATATAGATGTGGAAGAGAGACAACAGTCCCACTTGGGTTCCAAACAATTAAACAGATATCATGTCATGAAGCATACATGAACTCATTAATGAAAATGGAAACCAACAGAATCCCACCCTTGACCCAATAGTGGAGAAACTGACACATTCCCAAACAACATTGTTTAGAAGAAGCCAACACATTCTAGAGCATCATTTTTTACTTCGATTGCTGAGTAGATTTCCAAAGTGGTGGTTCCACTACCGCAAGAATCCAATGAAGGGTTATCCATTATTGCAACTTGTGAAATAGATGTTCCCTATGCAAATGGGATATGAAGGACCATGAACATCTATTAATAAAATGCACCTTCAAAAGAGAGATTTTGAAAGCATTTATATGAAAAAGCACCTGACGCATGACTCACACCAGTCACCAAAGGCTTCTCACATATTAGTTCAAGAGAAAGTACAATAACAAATCCATGCTCAAGCTTTGAAACTCCCAACACTAGTTTGGGTAACTAGGCAAGTAAGTTGGTCATGCATATGAAGAAACCTCCTCCTCTGTCCCTATAGTCATCCGAGACACATCATCGAAGATTAAGAATGGCCTTCTTACACCAAAGGTGAATATACCTTCTTGACAATCCAAGGGAGAAGAAGGGGACGGGGGGCGAGAGAGAGAGAGGAAACTAGTCTCCTAGTTACATCTTTCTGTACTATGTATAGACTTGGTGGATACCAGCTGCATATATCTTTCTGTAGTGTGTATCGACTTGGTCCTTGTATGTTTATAATAGCATTACAAAGGGGAAGGTCCCAGCAAAACATGGGCTAACTTAGCATTAAAAAAAGGGACCTTCTTTGTTATGATTAGACACATTTAAACTATGAAAACGTGTATAACTTCATTCACTGAAGGCAGAATTGATTTTTTGTCTACGCATCATGACATGGAATATTCATAAGCAATGTTGGGGATTGAGACCCTAAGAGAGTAGATAAAAAATTCTCGTGTTAATGTTCATGTAATACTCAATCATAACCATATGAGAGAGGCATTGATTCTCAATATTTATAAGATAATTATCAGTAATAGTGAAGATGGATCATAAGTGAGACAGTTCACTGAGATCATGATCCACTCCTAAGTTTCTCTCAAGACTTTCCTCACGATAGCAGCAAGGATATATTCAGTATTTCTTTGAGTAAGAGATCATGAAGATGTCCCAGACCTCACTATTGGATTAGGGCTATAAATATGATACAAAGTAGATAGATGTATATAATGATCTGCAGTTGTTTTCTATAATAATTAAAAAAAAAAAAATCTGCAGTTGCAACTACACCAGCTAAGCACAAATTTGGTGTTTCTATGGATAAAAATTATTCGCCACAGTTGTAATTCCTAAAGGGTACTGTATATTCTAAGAATTACGTTCGTCTTAAGACACTTCATCAATTCGATACCTCTTTTTTTTTGGCAAGTGTGCTTCAAGGCGGTGCCATTTAACCAATTTTGGAGGTTACATAAGAAAACAGATTTCGTCAATGTTTCTCAACAATAATATCATCCAAACCGCTTATTCTCCGGCAATTATATACAACTTAACCTAACCTAATTGCTATTCTTTGCAAGCAGATGGTAAAAATAGTTAATCACCATTTATTTCTCATTCTTTTTCTTCTTTTTGCTTCCCAATCTGAACTCTGAAGGATGGAATGTCAGCCAAAAAAACAAAAAAAAAACAAGAAACTCACAGGATAAGAAACGCCAAGAGCATCACTTATGAGAGCGTTGGATTCACCGCATTCCCTGTCCATCCGTTATGCAAGAAAAAAAAAATGTTAAGTAAGTTGATGGCAACACACAAATCCATGAATCATGATGTTTATTACCTGAGTGGTTGCTTCGAGAGGGGACAAACCAAGAGCTCAGATAGGAGCTTCTTGCTCACCCCTTTCACAACTGCTCTGCTTGGTGGCTTCACCATGCTCACCCTCCCCTCCTGCCGTCGTTTACAGCTTTTTTTATTTAGCAAAGAATTTGTCTTTCGTACAAGGTGGTTACTATTAATTTTGACCATGTGAAAGTAGATGGCAATATTTACTTCAATGGTCAAGATCAAATTTCAAAATAATAATTCTTGCCACACCCAATTTCTGCCACACCCAAGCTATTATATTACACTTATGTTATATATTATTGTAATTTATATATTATTATAACTATTATAAATTATTGTAAGTAATTATGATTTCTTTATACTAAATAAATAATAACATTATATACAATCTTTAAATTTATTTATTGACTTATAAGGCTGGACAACTTCATGTGTACGGAGCAAATCTATCTATTATATTACATGTCAATACGTGCTCGTGTGTTTTGAGTATACTATTTAGATATTTTTAATTTTTGTCTAAAATTATATGATATGTTAGTAGATACTACATTAAATGAGAAATGTTGCGGCAATTATTGTTAATTTCCACAATATATCAATTTTGCAATTTGAACTTTTTCATTGCATGTTCCTACAGGTTTACATTATACGCTTGCCTACTTAAATATAACACTCATTTAGGATATAATATAATTGTATTTTATTTTTCATACTGATTAGTAAGATTGTTTGATTTTTAAATGAGCAAATTACGTATGAACCCTTTTTGGGGGGTCAATTACCATATGGAGGTCATTTGCCTAATATTATGAGTACCACTCTTTTATTCCGTAATTTTTTATTTATTTATTTTTCTAAATTGCTTCCCTGTCCAGTAATGAAAACATCGGACAAAGTTTTTTTTTCCTAATTCAAGAACGAGAAATGAAAGAGAGAGAGAGAAGTTAAATAAGAAAGAAACATGCACATTGCCACAAACCCATGGGAAAATCAAGAAGTGGCATACAAAGTGAGAGAAACCACAAGAAGAATCAATCAGGATAAAAGGATTCAGAAAAAGAAGAGACCCAAATAATATCATATAGAGAGAGAGACCTTGATCCAAGAGGAGCACTCAAAACTGAAGTCAATCCTAGGAAAATTACATAATTGGATGAGGGAAGAACAAATCTTTTGGAAGCAAAGGTTCAAAATCAAATAAGTGAAAGACGGGGATTTTAATACTAGATTTTTTCATGCTACTGCAAATGCAAGGAAAAGAGTTAATAGTCTTCAAGGTCTTAAGATTCCAAGGGTGGAAAAGGGTGATCAGATAGGTTTAGAAACTGTTATTATCAAGCATTTTCAGGAAGCCTTTACTTCGGTATCTACCCCTTTGTCTGATTTTAGTCTTGTGCATTTTCAACATCTTTCTACTGAGTGGAGAAGCTAGTTAGAAAGGCTTTCACTGAAGTCAAGATTAAGGAAGCAGTTTTAGCTTCGTTGGGGATCGTGCCCCTGGGCCTGATGGTTTCCCTTTGGGATTCTATCAACACTTCTGGGATTTTGTTAAAGATGATGTTGTTAGCACGATGTATGAATTTCATGGTAGAGGGGTTGTGAATACTATTTTGAATTCCACCTTTATTGCATTAATAACAAAAAAAGGAATGATAGAAAGCCTTGGAAATATTCGTCCTATTAGCCTATTGACTAGCTTATACAATATTATTACTAAATGTTTGGCTAGAAGACTTAAAAAGGTTCTGCCTATGGTGATTAAAGGTCCTCAATCAGCCTTTATTCAAGGAAGGTAGATTACATGTAGCATTATGTGTGCACAGGAGGTCATAAGCGCTAGAGTTGCTGAGGAAAAGTGCAGGTATCATTTAAAAAATTGACCTTGAGACAGCCTATGATAACGTAGAATGGAATAATAGTTATGGGGTTTAGGGAAAAGTAGCTCTCATGGATTAAAGGATGTCTTGAGTCAACCCACTTTTCTATACTAATCAATGGTAAGTCGAAAGGTTTTTTTAAGGCCTCACGTGGAATTAGACAAGGTGAACCTTTATCCCTATTCTTGTTCACTATAATGGGTGAAAGTTTTAGTGTCATGTTAAACTCTATAATTGAGATAGGGTTGTTGAGTGGATTTTCAGTTAAAAGTAATGGTATAGTTGTCTCATTTGCAATATGCGGATGACACGCTAGCTTTTTGTGGGGAAAATGATGCAGAAGTTTAGACTTTAAAAAGGTTTTTAAGATGTTCTGAAATGGTAATTGGGCATAAAGCTAATATGAAAAAAACAAGCATTATTGGGGTGGCATGTGAGAGAGAGGTTGTTGTGGGAATTGCTAATCTTATTAACTGTGGTGTTGGACAGTTTCCTGTGAAATATTTGGGCCTACCTTTAATTGATTCAACAAGAATGTCTGTCATATGGGACTTTGTGATTCAAAGGATGCAATATAAACTAGATTGTTGGAAGGATAAATTATTATATTTGGGTGTTCAATTGACTCTCATCAAAGTTGCACTTGCAAATATGCCATTGTATTATATGTCTCTGTTTAAGATGCCAAGTTCTGTTGCTAAGTAATTTGAGTGTGTTATGTTGCTAAGTAATTTGAGTGTATGATGAGAAGGTTTTTGTGGGGTGAGAATGATAACAAGCAACCTGATTAAATGGGAGAAGGTATGTACGCCTATTGTGGATGATGCGATGGGGATTAGAAGATTGAAAGTTATGAATGGGTTGTTGTTAGCAAAATGGTGGTGCACGTGTGCAAATGAAAATAATCAACTTTGGAAACGAATTTTAGGAGAAAAATAAGGTGAAGATAAGATAAGATTCAAACTTTTCCATTAGGTCGAGCAAAAAACAATATAAATCACCAACATTTGTAAGGCCAATGTACATAATGGACTACCAAGAAACAATATGGACTATCAAGATATTTGCCCTTTTCAATGCAAAGCCTCATTTTACCTTTTATTGAGAGAGAGAGAGGAAATGCATTTGTCTCTTGCGAGAGAGGAGGAAAGAATCAGATTGCATGTTAATAGATGTCAAATCATTGTTGCTAAAAGATGCCCTGGCCATTAGAGATGATGTTTCCGCAAGTGTCCTTAGCCTTTCTTGCAGGACCTCACTCGCATCTGAAGCCTGGCCCTCTGATTGTCTCGACATAAACCAACAATCACCCTGAGCATTGTAAGTCCGTAACCCCACAACCGGGGATACAACAAATGCCTCCACACCAGGATAATCAAGCAAGCCACTCCTAGAAACAAAGTGACCCAATGAATGGTTCGTCAAAAAATGCAGCTCGAAAGATACCCTCTGGAATCTGATAAATTGGATTACCAAGAAACCGAATAAATTGAAAGAGAAAAATCGGATTTCAAAGGAAGAATGTTTTAGATCTGTCGATTTTAGAGACAATTAGTTTTCAAAAAATGTCGGTTTCAGAGAGTTTTCCCGAGGTTGTTTTTCAAATGCGGATTTCTATAGGTAAGTTTCAAATCTTGCGATCTTAGTCGGTGGTTTTCTATGTGCGGTTTTTGGGGTGGTGGTTTCGGTAGTGTTTTAGGCATGGCGGTATTAGTGAATGGTTTTGACAGAATGGTTTTGCATAATGATTTGTAGAGTGGTTTTGCATAGTGATTTGCATAGGAGTTTTGCATGGCGGTCTCCATGAGTGGTTTTTTCTAGGCTCTGATACCATTTGAGAAATCTATATTTTTCTATATATTAAACTTATGGAAGAAAATCTCACATAAGTATACAAAGGTGGTACAAAAAAGAAAAGAAAATCATACAGCCTATATGATATATAAAAAAGACAAAAAAAAAATATCATAATTGTTTACGATGCAAATCAGAGAGATCTCCAAAGGAAGATCCCTCTAATCTGAATACCACAAACTCATTTTAAGAGTGAGCGACAGAGAGTGGGGAAAATCAAATTTGAATATGAGGTCAAATCTATTAAAAAAACGAATAGATCCTCTCTCAGATCAGTGACAGAGCCAACATAGATAAAAAAAAAACGAAATATTGAATGAATAAGAATAAAAACCTATATCTAACAATAGAACTGAAAAATAAAAGAAAATATGATGAGAAAAATACCCAGCAAACCCGTAGCTTTGAGGCCTCAACCGTATCAGAACCGCTGAGTTTATGGCTTGCATCCTCTTTCTCTCTCATCAGGTTTTGACCAGGCCTTGGCATGGTTGAACTAGAGTTTTGCTTATCTAAGCTAAAAGTTGGTTTCAGGGGAGGGCTAGGGCTTAATATTGCATCTCTAGATCTAGATTTTGTCATGGTTTTCTTCCTATGCTCTCTCTATCTCTCAAATTTCCTGGCCTATGGGTTCACAAAGTGTAACCCAAATGGGTCACAAAATGTGTTTATATAAAGGCTCAAATCATACTAGAATAGATATATACCAATTTCAAGCAGATTTGCCAGCTTAATTTCCATTTTGGGGTTCAAAAGGAACCCAAAATGTACCAAAATTAGTAGTTGCATTTTTATGATATTACTTACCAAAAATCAGGTAAAAATAAGTTGTTTTGCTATTTTTACTTGATTTATTCCTAAAAAAATGGCCTTGAACCTGCAATACGGATTCGATGATACTCCTCTATGATGACTCACCTGAATGCGGGTTGGCTGGCCAAAAGGATAAGGGATAGAGGGCGACGAGAATCTCCGTATCCGCGTAGGCACTATGCGCTCGAGTTATCAAGGCGACCGAAAGGGTTCGAACCCTGTTGACTATCGGCTCAGGATGACTCCTCTCGAATGACTGAGGAAGAGAGCATATGCGTCTCTCACAACTAGTGTTCGCAAAATTGAACCGGAACAGTTAATCAGACAGGGGCACGGAAGGCTTTTAACCGGTCTAACCGGTAAACCGGCTGATTCAAGCGCTCTAACCAAGCAAGTCCCGAACGATCAAAAGAGTGTTGAAAAAAACAAAAAAGATACAAAACAAAATCTACAAAAATATGAAAAGCATATAAAGAATGTGATTAAAACAAAACACACTCAAATGAAGTTGAAAATTATTGAAAAAATTTGATTTTAGTGAATCAATTTGTGCCTAGGGGTATTTTTAAAATTTTCTGAAAAATATGGAAAAATATAAAAGTGACTATC